TGTCTCGAAAAACCAAAAAAAAAAAAAAATAAAAAAATAAATAAATAAATAAATAAATAAAGCCGAGCACCACCACCACCACCTGACTGGACTTCATTTGTTTTGAGGAGCTTCTTAAATTCTGTGACATTTCTCTTCTATTTTGGAGAATCCTCAGCCATTATTGATTCAATATTGCTCCTGTCCCCTGTCTTAGTCACTGTTCTGTTGCTGTGAAGAGACACCATGACCAAGGCAACTATTATAAGAGAGAGCATTGAAATGGGGACTGGCTTACAGTTTCATCATGGCTGGAAGAATGGCAGCCTACAGGAGGAGCTGGAGCAAGCAGTAGCTAAGAACTACATCCTGATCTGTAGGCAAGAGTGAAGGGCTCTAGCAGGCCCGAGCATGGCAAACACACCCCGGCAGGTTTTGTCCTTCCCCTTGCTAAATTGTTAGGTTACATTCCTAAAGCTAGCCACCAAGATCTATTCCCTTATTTGGCCACTTTGTTATGCCTGACTCATTCCTAAGGCAGGTCACCAAGGTCTACCTATCAAAGCATTCAAGGTCCAGCAATCAAAATTATTTTGACTAACCTAATTAAAATACCCAATCAGAACTTACCAACACACCCTAGCTCATTCTAACACATTCTCCCCCTTTTCCCTCTCAAAATTAACACCAGCAAGCTGGGTGGTCGTGGCACATGCCTTTAATTCCAGCACTTGGGAGGCAGAGGCAGGTGGATGGGTCTCTGTGAGTTCAAGGCCAGCCTGGTTACAGAGTGAGTTCCGGGACAGCCAGAACTGTTACACAGAGAAACTTTGTCAAGAAAATAATTAAATCACACTTGCAAAGCTGTTCGCTGCTCTTTCTGCCTGATTCTGATTCAGCCACCTTGTCTCTTTGCCTTGCTTAATACAGGATCTCTTTGTGTTTGGTTTGTATTTGAAAATTGGTGTTTGGGTGTGGTCTGTGCCTAATCTGGGGTCCAGAGGGGAGTATCCGAAGTATGTACAGGTCCCTTCAGAGAGATGGGGGACTTGGCATGGGCTTTTGAAACCTCAAAGGCTACCCCCAGTGACACACTTCCTCCAACAAGGCCACACTTTTTAATTCTTCTAAACCTATCAAAGAGTTCCACTCCCTGGTGACTAAGCATTCTAATCTATGAGCCTATGGGACCCATTTTATTCAAACCACCACAGCCCGTTCCATCTTTTCAGCTTGTTTGTGGTATTCCACTTAAGGAATTTTCAACATGTGTCACATTTTCTATGCTTTAAAAATGATTTTTTAAAATGTCCCCATTATTTTTGTCTCTGTATTAATTTTCTCTTCTTGAGTCTAATCCACACTTAAGACTATCCATTGGCTTTCACTTTCAGTTATTACATTTTTCAATTCTCATTAGACTCTTGATTTTCAAAGATTAATTTTAGGTGTGTGTGTGTGTGTGTGTGCGTGCGCACATGCCACATCACAGTGTAGAGGCCAAAGGACAACCTGTGGGAATCAGTTTTTCCACCACGTGGGTCCGGGGATTGAACTCAGGTCCTCAGGCTAGACAGCAAGTGCCTTTACCCACTGACCTACCTGGTCAGCCCCTTGACTCTTTTTCATAGATTTCAATTATTTCTTGAAATTCTTTGCTATTTGTTCTCTCTCTCTTTTTGTTTTTCTTTTAGGTGGCAAAGCATGTTCTCCAGGAGCAAAAAAGAGTTCAGTTCTGATACTGCAGAAGAACACAGTGCTCACATTTGTTTTTTGAAACAGGGTCTCGTGTATCCCAGGCTAGACCTGAACTCCTAATTCTCCTGCCTCTACCTCCCAAGTGTGGTGTTGAGGTTGCATCTTTTCCTCTACCTCCATCTCTTCCACTTGACTGATGACCACCATATCATCATATTATTCATATACTCTTAGCATGCAAGAGCCTGGGTTCAATCCCCAGACCCCTCAAATAAAGATTAAATATACTAGTATATAGATTATTCATTTGTTAGGCTACTTCCCTATTTTATTTATTTATTTATTTATTTATTTATTTATTTATTTATTTATTTATTTATTTGCTGGCTGCTGTCTCCTAATTTTTTCTTGACTTTCAGTCATATTGAGTACATACTAAGATTTTGTTTGTTTGTTTCTGGAAAGGGTATCTGTCTGTCCTGGAATTCACTATGTAGATCATGTTGGCCTCAAACTCCCAGAGATCCACCTGCCTCCCAAGCAATGGGATTAAAGGTGTGCACCATTGCACCATCGCACCCAGCCGACCTTGAACTTCTGATCCTCCTGCCTGCATCTCCCCAGTATTGGAATTACAGGTATGCAACACCACACCCAGTTTTATGTGGTACTGAGGATTGAACCCAGGGCTTCCTGTATGCTTAGGTTAGCACTCTATCAACTGAGTTACGTCTTCACCCCTGAATGATAGGTATTGTGCATGGAAGATTTAGAGGCTTCGGGTGATGGATATATTTCTCCACTGTCTCTCTAGTGACCTGTTTCAAAGGCATGGCCCTCTAATGCTTTTTTAAAGATCATTTTTGGTTTATTGAGACAGGGTTTCTCTGTGTGGCCCTGACTGCCCTGGAACTTGCTTTGTAAACCAGGCTAGCCTTGAACTCACAGAGACCTGCTTACCTCTGCCTCCCAAGTGCTGGGATTAATGCCACCACCATGCCTATTTCTTTTTAATGTGTATGTGTTGAGTAAATGTCAGTGTCTATGGTTGCCAGAGAAGATCAGAAGAGGGAGCTGGTAGTTGTGAGCTGCTCAAAGTGGGTGCTGAAAACTGAACCTGGATCCTCTGCAAGAGCAACAGGTGCCGTAAACCATCTTTCCAGCCTGCCTCCAATACTTTCAACTGTAACTGTTGTGTGTTCTTCAAGCGCTGCCCTCGGGCAGATCTTATACTTCTCCCCTTTTTTAATGTTGATATTCTGGGTTTTTGCTGTTTGTTTTTGTTTTGAGACTGGGTATCCCTAGGTAGAGGTCTCCCCTTCAGGCTAGTCACAAACTTGTGACAGTCCTCTGACCTCAGCCTCCCAATTGTTGGGATCACAAGTGTGAGCCACTCTACCCAGAGACATCATGGTTGTATGAGGCTCTGGCTGATTATCTGACAGCTCCGGAGGTCAGAAGTCTAACAGTTCTCTGCGGTATTGTGGACGCTCTTGGACAGAATCAATATCCTTTCCTGTTCGGGAATCTTCATCTTTTTTTTTTAATTTATTTATTTATTACATATACAGTGTTCTGCATGTATGCCTGCCTGACAGAAGAGAGTGCCAGATCTCATTACAGATGGTTGTGAGCCACCATGTGGTTGCTGGGAATTGAACTCAGGACCTCTGGAAGAGCAGCCTGTGCTCTTAACCTCTGAGCCATCTCTCCAGATTCCCCTGGAACCTTCAACTTTGGTTGGCTTTCTTTCAAAGTTAGTTAGTTCATCTCTCTCATACTTATCAGTCTGGCCTCTTCTTCTGCCCCCTCTTCCACTTCAAGGGCTCCTTAGGATGAGTGCCTCTCTATTTTATATACATTTGCCTAGCTCCATGCCAAGAGTGTGCTCTGTGAGATTCCACAGCAGCCAGCTAAGCCAGAGCAGACAACCACAGAGCAGAGGGCCAGCCTGAGCTGTAGAACCAGAGTCAGCCACGAACTGCAAACCACTAAACACACACCCTGATCCTTCTGGCATGGTTCATAGGCCATTGATATGCTTATAATTAATTCAAAGGCAAATAATTCAAGTTTATATTTGAGAATTTGCCTTTATGCTGGTTAAGCGAATATAGATTTATGAATCTTTCATTTTAGGGTTTCCTGACCTCGATTGCTCCTGAATCATTGTGGTTATTTCTTAGCTGATCTATCCTCCTTCATTCTCAAATGCTTTTATTTCATGGTTGCTGGGAAGCAAGAGAAATAAGAAAGGACATGGGAGAAGGGGTTGGGTCTCAATGTCCACTTCAAGGGCACACACACCCTAGTGATCACCCTTCTTTCCAGGAGGTCTTGCCTCCTAAACTTTCCAGCCAACAGTACACAGGCCGAGGCACAAGCCCCTTTGGAGAACATTATAGAGCCACACTACAGCAGGCTGTGAGCACTTACTGTGACTACCAGCTCTTCACCTCTGCAGCCGTCCACTCTCAAAGCCATAGCCCTGGTGTAAGGAAAATTCTACCAAAGACCTGCTTAGTGCTCCTCAAAATGGCTTAGGTCATTAAAAAGCAAGCAAGTAAAACCTCAGAAACAGTAGCAGTGTAGATGTACTTACAGAGAAGCCAGAACTGGTCTGGTGGGATCGCAGAACAGAGAAAAATTGATGAAAACGGAATGAAATATAGACTTTAGCTAATAACGGCATATATATATATATATATATATATATATATATATATATATATATATATATATACTGTTTCAAAGAACAAACAACAACAACAAAATTCTAAGTTCTCATTTTAAAAGACAAAGAATCTTGGTTGGTTTCAATGTCACTAATAACACTGATTAAAAAATGTGATAGAAATTAGCCGGGCAGTGGTGGCACACGCCTTTAATCCCAGCACTCAGGAGGCAGAGGCAGGCGGATCTCTGTGAGTTTGAGGCCAGCCTGGTCCCCAAAGAGAATTCCAGGAAAGGCGCAAAGCTACACAGAGAAACCCTGTCTCGAAAAACAAAACAAAACAAAAAACAAACAAACAAAAAAAGTGATAGAAATTGTTTAGAATTGGGGCTGGAGAGATTGCTCAGTGGTTAAGAGCACTGGTTGCTCTGCCAGAGGACCTGGGTTCATTTTCCAGTATCCACATGGCAGCTCACAATTGTCTGTAACTCCAGTTCCAGGGGATCTGGCATCCTCACACAGACATACATGCAAGTAAAACACCAATGCACATAAAATAAATAATCTTTAAAAAAAAAAAAAAGCCGGGCGGTGGTGGCGCACGCCTGTAATCCGAGCACTCGGGAGGCAGAGGCAGGTGGATCTCTGTGAGTTTGAGGCCAGCCTGGTCTACAGAGCTTGTCCAGGACAGGCTCCAAAGCTACAGAGAAACCCTGTCTTGAAAAACCAAAACCAAACCCCCACAAAAAAAGGAAATTGTATAGAATAAAATAATGAGAATGAAAGTAGAAACGGG